TTGTAAAAGCTTTTGATGACTCACAGTGTCGAATGCTTTTTTCATATCAATAAAAATACCTAGTACAATATTTTTTTGGTCAATATTTGTTTTGATTTTTGTGATTAAATCAGTCGCTGCCGTAAGAGTACATGAATTAGCACGAAAGCCATATTGTTGTTCGATCAAGAAATGTTTTTCGCTTAGATAATTGTTCAGGCGGGTATATAAAACCCGTTCAAAATTTTTTGATAAAACAGATAGGACCGACACAGGCCTATAATTGCTAGGATCAGTTCTACATCCTGATTTGTGTATAGGACTGATCTTAGCAACCTTTAGTGTGTCGGGGAAGATACCTTTCTGTAAACAAACATTTATACAATTTGTTAACCTCTCAACAATAACATTTTTTAGGCATTTTATAGATTTGGTGCTAATACCATCCAAACCGGTGCTGGTGTTGCTGTCGAGATCGTCGATAATTTTTGAGATTTCGCGCGTATCGCACGGCGAGAGTTTATCTAACGTTATGTCGTGTGTATAGCTAGGTTCGTACATCAGAATATTACCAGTGTTTACGTGATACTTGTTAGGTATTTTGTTAGCCAAATTCGCACCAATTGATGAAAAGAATGAATTAAATAAATCACATATCAGGTTACCTTCGGTGATGGGGCCCGAGTTCGACATTAATTTTGGAGGGGCACTTTTGTCCTTTACTCTGTTCAATGCTAAGCTATTAATAATCTCCCACATTTTTTTAGGCTGATTGAAGTTGTTATGAAATAGGTTGTAATAATATTTTTTCTTATGTTTATTGATAAGGGCTTTCACTCTGTTTCGTTCTTCATAGAATTTTTTGCGTAGATTAATGTCGTCCGGGTGATGTTTAGTTTGTTGCCACAAACTGTTACGTAAATTTATTGAATTTATGATGTCTCTGTTTATCCAGTCTTCCTGAGGCTTGTTCAAAACTTTTGTTTTCTCTTGTTTATTCGCATTGATCTGTTCCAAAATAAATTTCTCTAAGTAGTAATAGTCATTGTGGTCATTTATGTAGTTAGCTATAACGGCACTATTATATAATTTGTCGTAATCCGGAGCTTTATATTGTATTTTTTTATTCATTTGTGGTGCCAGTTTGCCTATTTCCAGGAACATATGTTTATGATCGGACATACTCGATTCAATTAATGATATACTAAATGTGTGATTACTTATGTTTGTGCTTATATGATCCAGTATAGTATTTGTCGAACTGGTTTGGCGAGTGCCGTATAAACTATCTATTTTATTCAATATTTCGTATCCATTTTCTTTAACTTCATTTATGTAGTGAGTCGCATCGTTGTCCGTTTTAAGTAGGTCGAGATTAATATCTCCGAATACGATGGTTCGATTTCTTCGCTCTAATTGTGAGGAATAGATCTCTAAAAAGTTGTCTACATTAGTTGCTCCAGGTTTATATATCGCGCCGATGTTTAAAGATAGTTTATCTATGTGTATCCATAAATAATGGTTTTCATCTTCGTATAATTCTTCCGTCAAATCGTATTGTATGCTATCGAGTACGTAAATCGAAACGCCACCGCCTTTACGCGTCGATCTATAGTTATAGATATGTTTGTAACCTGGCAATTGGTACAATTTAGCGTCACTCTCCGATCTAATCCATGTCTCAGTAAATACAATTACGTGGGTAGTTGCCGGAATCGATTTTAATATGCATTTTATTTCGTCGAATTTGCCGGGTTTCCGGATACTACGCAAGTTCGCATAAAAGAATCTTAGTGAGGATGGGTGCACTGGAATGTCTTCGTATTTTTGTACAATTTGGTGACATAATCTACTCGTATATTTTGCCTTTTGTATCGAGACGTTTATAGGTTTTTTTGGTTTGTTTTGTTTACAATGATTGTGGGCAATCCTTTTATATATTTGATAACAAGATCTTTTTCACCTTTTTCTAATCGTGTATTTAACTCTTCCTTTACTTGTTGTAAATACTTAATTTGTGTTGGGGTCTGATCTGCGTAAATATGCATATTCTCAGGCATTTTTTTTTTTTTTTCTTATTCCGTAAAAGGTGTCTTGCGGTATCTGTAGTGTTAAAGTAACATTTTATCGGCCGGTTCTTGTTAGGTACATATTTTCCTAGTCTAATAGTTTTAATTGGTGTTGGACAGTCGTCATACAATGACCTCATTAATTTCATAACTTCTTCTTTATCGTAGCTCCGTCGTGTGTTGGGGTTTTTGTCGTTTGTTTCCGATATACCCACGATAATTACATTTTTCTCACGGTCACATCGGTCTTTGAGCTCAAGTATAAGGTTCTCATTACATAGGAGTGGCGATTTGGTTGTTGAAAC